GGTATGCGGAGGGATCTGATGGGGCAACGAACTTGACAAGGAAGGAGGTGAAAACACCAGATGGTGGGGAAGGAGATGAGGGGGATTATGCACATTCGAATCTGCGGAGGCCTGGAACGTTGAGAGAGAACTCGAGGGATACGGTACCGCAACAATTCCAACAGAGAGCGAATACGACTGCTGCACGGACAAGAGTTGAGGTTGATCAATCATATATGCATGATGCGTCTAGAGAGCTGGGAAGCGAGGATATGGGGAATAATCGACCTGGAAATCGAAGGGTAGATTATAGGGATGCAGTTCTCTTTCCGGAGGAGAGTCCCAATCCTCTGGAAAGAGATCAACCACTGCTCAGTGAAACGACCATTAGTGAAAGCCATCGAGTACCATATTTCAGATATTTTGGTCCGACGGCTATCGTGCCCGGGTTTAAACAAATGGTAGTCTCTGTTCGAGAACATAAAAGAGGTATGGGTGCTCCATCGTCTTCTTCTCTCACAATGTCACCTATATCCGCGAAACATTCTAGTGGGGGATCTGTCAATGGCACGCCATCTCAAGCGGGTACTGAACCAAGGTCTGCAATCGATATGCCACTTTATGATCCTAATGATCCATTACCGGTCAATAGACTTATCATTCATCTTGTGGAAGTATTCTTTGCTCATTTGGGTTGCAATTATCCTTTTCTATCGAAACGACAGGAAAATTTCAAACGTCTGGTCGAAGAAAAGAAAGTTGAACCTATTCTAGTAGATGCAGTTTGTGCATTAGCGGCTCGATTTTCAGATCATCCACTTCTTACTACTTCACATGATTCACCACAACCGAAATCAGAATATGGACAAGTCTTTGCTCAGCGAGCTAAAGCGGCTGTTGTGGATACATTTCCTTGTCCCACGGTTGGAGCGGTACAAGCTTGTTTGTTACTTGCTTATGAGGGATTTGGTGCGAATCAAGATAGTGCGTTATGGATGTATCTTGGATGTGCTATACGTATGGCTGTGGATCTTGGACTTCAAAAGTTGGATGGTGTCAAACATCAAGGACAGAAGGATCCAGGATATCATAGGTTGACAAATGAAGGCGAATCAGATGAACCTGATGCTACTATTACGGCGGAAGAGAAAAGTGCAATTGAAGAAGAAAGAATGGATACACTCTGGGCAGTTCTCATGCTTGATCGAGTCATTTCTTCTGGAACTGGTAGACCAGTGAGTCTTAAAGATGAAGATCTCGAATTGACACTTCCATCCGTATCCAATAATACAGAAGAAGCATGGCCAGATCCTTTTCCTGCACTTATCAGAATCATACATTTATATGGTCTAGTTTCAGATTTGTTGAATCGGATAAGAGGTGCGGATGATATCACACCTGGGTTGATAAAACAACTCAAGGGTATGGAAAAGGATTTGACGGTGTTGTATCAAAGTTTGGATGGGAGATTGGAATTTTCAGCGACCAACTTTCAACATTATGTTAAGAGTGGGGAGGGAACAAATTTTATACTTGTGAGTTTACCTGACCTCTCGGAACATGTGAATGAGATTTGCTAATTGTTGTCAAGGTCCATTTTTGGTTTCATACTTTAATCATGTTGCTTCATCAACCTACTTTAATGCAATCTCTCGAAGGACAAGTATTACAATTACTTCCTCATAGTCGAGAACTCAGCATGTCATCTGCTAAAACCATTGCCGATATCTTGGCTTTTGCTGAACTTATTGATCCGAGATCATTTATTGGGAATCCATTTACATGTCAACCGATATATATCGCTGGATGTGCTTTTCTCAAAGAGATTGCATTGCACACTTCTCAACCATCTTCTAGAAACCACAGTCCTCGTCAAAGCCCTCCATCGGATGCCGTAAAGCCAGGAGGGAATCACAATAATCAAGGAAATCAAAAACAGAAACATTCATTGCTTGCAGCAGCAGCGAATCAAAATTATCAACGATGTCACAAAGCTTTACAACACATAGAATCGTATTGGGCTGGAACACGATATATTCGAGTAGCTATGGAACAAAAACAAAGTGGAATAGATCCACAAGAAGTCGAAACATATACGGCGGAAGAATATACCGAAGCTACCAAACCAAGACATGAAATTATACCTAATTGGAGACGAAAATTCTCTGCAAACTCTCCTGGGAGATTTCCGGAATTTGTACGTTCACCCATGATGGAAGCACTTCCTGGATCTCCGGCAATTGATTTGGCTCAAGCTATTGGTTGGTCCCTTACCGGAACTACTAATTCTCCAAGTTCAAATTTGACATTTATGTATCAAAATCAAAGTGCAGCGGATCATTTAGAGATGAGAGCTCAGAAGGAATATGGTCAGGGAAACATGATTTATGATCCCATTAGACAAAGTTTACCGGAAAATATGGCGGGGGGTACGTCGACTAGTGGAAGGTTTGATAGATTTATAGGGACTTCGAGGAGTAATCATATGCCTCCTCCGGGACCAAAATTCATGCATAATACGAACTCGAATATTGATGCGAGTGCAACGGCGGATGCGGAAATGTTATTGGGGTTGGGTGCTGGAGGTAATGGAAGTGGCAGTCCATATCCGACATCGAGGAGTGAAAATCATGCGTTTGACCCAGGACCAAGAAATACAATGAGTCCCAGACCAGGAAGTTCGAGTACACCGCGTGGAGGCGGGTATGATTTCTCGCATACCCCATCGACCTCGAGTGCGGGAGGATTCTATAATCACAACAATCATAATCACAATAGTAATAACGGAAGTAATCTACATGGTAATAATATACATCCTGTGAATAACGGGCATGCGAGTGGAGCGGGTAATGCACAGGGAAATTCATTTCATGCGGGACATCACACACATGCGAATTCGAATTCGCATTCGCATTCGCATGGGTATATGGGTATGGGTATGGGAAATCAGGGATTGGGTGATATGATGATGGAGAGTCAGGATATTGATATGAGGGGGTTGGGAGAGGATATGATGCCTTGGTTGGAGTATTTGCCGGGGGATATGTTGGGGTTGAGTGGGTTTTTTGGAGGGGAGGAGGAGGGTGGGGGAGGGGATGGAGGGGGTGGTGGGGGGTAGGGGATAGGGATGGAGGGAGAGGGAGGGGAGATCAAAGGGATAGGAAGGAGGGGGTTGAGGATGTGAGAGAAATGGAGGGGGAGAGGGGCAAAGAAATAATAATTATATGGTTATTTGATCATTTATGAAGATTTGGTTGAAATAGTAAATGTGAATCAGGTTTTGTATGACAGATTGTTTGGGGTGAGGGGAAGGGGTAGGAAGGTTCATTGGTTCCTAAATTCCCGCCTACCTCACATGTGTTATCACTTACTCTAAAGTCTCGCTAGTGCAAGCCTATAATTCAGATTCTATCATATAATTGAGCTTATTATAATTTACTTTCGCTTGTGGGAGATGGGTAATCCGGCTTACGATTCCATCACTATCAATAATGATTTCGAGGAGTGTGCTCGCGATTAAGGAAGGAAGTGGGTTTGTGGATGTATGGATTAGTTTTTTGGGGTTATTTTTTATTTTTATTATGGAGATGGAATTGTAATTGATGGGTTTTTGGATATGGATGTGGATGTGGATGGGATGGGATGGGGTATAGATTGGGCATTGTGTTGCTTCATCTTTTATTATGTGGTTAGTGGGTTGTGGGATGTGTGATATGTGATGTGGGAATTGGAAGTGAGGAATGAGGAATGGAGATTTGGATTTTTTTTGTTCTCTTATGTGAGCTTTGAGGTGCTTTTCTTGATGTGTTGTTTAATGTAATGTTATATGATGGAGTTTAATGTGATGGGGTTTATGAGAGTGAATGAATTGAATTGGATTGGATTGTATGAATTATTGAGCTTCACCTCTATTTAAACTATGGAACCCTCGGTGTCTGCCCGGAATTAGTTGGAATCATATTTTTGATGTGATTCCTTGAATTGTATATAAGTTACTCCACGAATTCGTTGTGATGAATTGATGAGTATAGTCCACTAGTGAATGTACGGACTAACGGGACACTATAAAAATTGACTTGTGAATATCTCTTGATAAATTAAATCATATTTCTTAAGAACTATTACAATTATTCATTACATTTGAAACAATAAAATGGTGAAGTCTCATATCCAACAATCAAAGATTGAATTTGTTAAAAATTTCGAAAGTTGGGAAGTGTCCCGTCAATTCATGCACCCACTGATGGTATCTGTTTGTGGACCTTCCTTTCTTCGCAAAATGAGATCATCAGGATCTTGTATTCGATGTGGTATCTTGGGTTGTAACTTGTGTGTAGGTTACTCGCGTGATTGAGGCGGTGAATTGTGGATTACCGCTGATGTTTTTCTATGGTTTGTTGTTTGATCTTTGGTTGTAATCGGTACACTTTCAGAATACCTTGTTGATGGTTGATTGTTGCCTCTGTTCAAATTCCTCGGGTTCTTCTGCGTGATTAGTTGGAATTATGTGTTTGTTATACTTGTAATGTTTTAGGTTATAAGATAAGTTACTCGTTTAATCTATTTATAACAAACCATTGATTCTTTGCTTTATAAGTATCCGTAAGTTTTTTGTTTATCTTCTTTGAGGATATTCTTGGGGTTTGAGATTTGAGATTTGAGATATTGTATACACTCTCAAATTATTTGGTCATTCGTTGAGCTAAGCTTGTCATTACACCCTATGGTTTCTGCAGCATATTTGGAATCACGTGTTTGCTGTGATTTCTCTCCTGTGATATTTTACTCGGTCGAGCGTCTGATGAGTTGGCACACTATTCCTGTGTTTGTATCCCATCATTTCCTATTCATTCTTTTCGTTTTCTCTTCTAATATCTGCTAACCGCCCCATTCCTCAACGTGAATCACACTATCCTCCACTCGCTTAATCCGTATCATCAACTGCTAATTCTCGCCTTGTCTGTATCCCATCATTTGCTCTCCTTCCTCTCCCCTTATAATCCCTCCCTCCTACCCCTTGCCTAAACCATATCGTCGACCACTTCTTCCCTCCTCTCTCTATACCCCATCATCTCCTCTTCATCTCCGAGAATCCCTGCATTACCATCTGATCCCTCCCCTCCAAAACATAATCCCCATCTACTCATCACATAACTCGCTGCTCGAATACCCGAACAAATTGTAAAGATTCCGAAACACACGATTGCGAATTCAATGCCTTTGAGTTGTGGGTTGTTGAGTTTGTGTGTTTGGATTTGGGTTTGGGTTTCGAGAGGACCACCAGTGCCGTGAAGGGATGTGAGAGTGTCGTGCTGTTCTGGAGATGTGAGATTTCGTTCTAGTGTCGGAGATCCATTCTCAGTGCGATTTGAATGAGGAGATAGTACGACGACAGAGAGGCAGAAAATAGACAAAACACCGGTGGTAATCTTGAGATGGAGCAGTGTAGAGCGCGGGATTTGGATCGAACGATAGCGGAAGTGGATGGAAGAGGATTTTCTGGTTGATGGGTTTTCTGGTGTGCGAACGTTGTGTTTGAGATTGGGATGAGGATGTCTGCAGATGCAGGTACACGGTCTGCGGTTATTGCATGGTGATTGGTGGCGGTTTGCGAGGAGAGGAGTGGTTTCGGAGATGTCGCCGCTGAAGGGGATGGGGTAGATGAATTCTTCGGGGGGAGTGGCGGGGTTGTTGTCGTTGGGGCTGGGATTGGGATCAGGTGCGAAGGAAGAGGGGGAGGCGGAGCGAGTTAGGGATGCGTTGCTTGCGGTGGAGATTATGCTGGTAAGCGAGGAGGCGCCGGAGATGGAGTAGAGCGAGGGGGTGGAGCTTTTTCTTGCTTTTGGTCTTGGAAACATGTTTTTGAGTGAGTTGGTTCCTGGAATCTGTATTGTGGTTAGATTGGTTGGTTGTGGGAGGGTGGAGGAGAGATGTGGTGAGATGAGATGTATTGAGGTGGCTAGAAGATAGGGGTGGGTATGGATGTGAATAGAAGGGGGAAGATGGCGATCGATGAAGTTGAATGGATACTTACTGTAGTTGGATATCCGGAGCTTCTAAGGTACGATTCCTTTTCTTGAGAAAAATCTACGAGACTTCCGAGTTCCCAATCAGTATCGAACACTATCTAGATTTTAATTTCTTGTATGTTTTCGAGTGGATGCTGAAGTTTCGATATCTCGATATTTCGATCTTGTGATAGGTTGATGGTAAAGTGAGTGCGTCTTTACAAGTTCTTAAAAGTTGGTTGTATGGGTTTGTATAAGAGTTTATCTCTTATTACTTTAAATTCTAGGAACTTGCATGGAGGGAGATTGTGTATATAGATTTGGAAACTATTACGGCTTGACGAATCATACTGAGGTGGATTTAGAGTGGCAGTATCCTCATGAAGGCTCCTAGGGATGAAGATGTTACGGTTAGGAACTAGCAGGATCATTTAGATAGTTTTTGGGATGTTTACAGTATTATGGTTTGACGAATCATACTGAGGTGAATTTGGAGCGGCAGTACCTCGATCAAGACTTCTAGGAATGGAGATGTCACGGCTCAGAAGTAGCAAGTTTGTTTCACGATGAGCTGTAGAACTTTACATGGCAGTCATCAATTACTCAATACTCGGATCATACTAGTCAAGTCACGATGTAGAAAATTCTCCGTATTGACCATGAGGGGGGATTTTGTCAGTATGTTTGTCTTTGGTGTAGAGGTTAGGGAATGTTCATTTTCCGAAACATGAGCCGGTTGCAAGACGAGTCTGAGGCAGAAGAGGATAAAGAACATTTAAATGTGAAAAGATTTACTATTCAGAGACATGAAATCCTGCTCGTGCAGTCCCATTGTTTATAGTGCATACTGAACCCAAACCATGAGTTTCGCTCGAGGACGTGAACACTAGATATTATCTGAAAGTTGACAAAAACCAGAAAGCACAATCGGTATCAGATGATTTTCTCTATCACTGTAGAATATGTCACTCACAATTCTAGTCTATGAATTCTCCAACACAGATTCTCCGGCAATAGTCGGCTCTCGTAAGCGGCCGACTAGTTCCTAAAAATTCACTCGCGCAAGTGCACTCCAACAATTCCACATAGCCCCTTCACCAGCCTCGCTTGCTACGGTAGGTAGATAGATATTCACTTTTATGACATCACCTAGCCGGAGACTTCCACACTCTAGAAGTTACTAGGTACGCGCATTAATAATAGCAACCGTTTCATCATATCATTATCAATTAGCCGTATTGAACTCTTCGGGTTGGATACATAAGGATTTTTTTATCCGATCCACTCATTTGATCTAGAAACATCTCGATAGATGGTCTTCAATTCCAACTCTAAATCACATTAAAATCTATAAGTATTCGGTTCAGGAAATTGATAGAAAATCACAAAATATACAACGATAACAATCGAAATAGTTTTCAGTAAAGGTATGATAAATTTCCGTTCTACCTTCCTCTTTCTTCTTCCATTCTACTATTCCCATACTACCACTCTCCTTTTCATTTCGCCCAAAACTTTCCAAACATCTAACTAATCACCACAGAAGACTCCAAAAATTTCCGCAACGCCAGAAAACCCACCAAAATACCCAGAAGTGTTGCAGCTATCGTACATCCCCATATCAAGATGAATCCCAGTACACCTCCATTTACCTCACCCGAGAAATCCGAGAGCTATTTTCCTACTTGTAGAACTCCTGAAACTTCAGCACGCACTCGTTCGATTAGCAAGAGGGGTGGAAAAGACAAGAGCAGGAGTAGAAAAAGTTCTTGTTCAAAGATTCCAAGTAGACCTGGTTCAACTAGATCTCATGCTTCGTCTTTGATTCGTACGAGTCCGATTGCCTTTGCCCTTACTGGTGCTGGTGGTGGTAAGATGGGTTCATGTTATAGAGACAATCCTAGTATCTCTTCATCGGATTCAGATTCAACGATTAGGGAAAGGATCGCGGAGGCAATGGATACAAATCAATTTGCCATGCCTGATTGTGATATTCCGCTACCTCCACAGACTGAGACTAGAAGCATTGCAGCAGACATAGGTAGTCCTCTCACAAACAAGAGAAAGAGTTCACCCACTACCGCTATTTCGCCACCTGGGCCTACTTTCATTAAGGGTGTCATTTCTCAGATGAAATCGCCCCAACTTTGCTCTGGAACGATCGCTTCTTCGGCTGTCATGAAGCCAGTACTCACGTCTGACGCATCGTATACACCAATACAAGTTTCTACGGCACCCTCAACACCTAGTGCTACTCGCAAACCCGCAGAATCATTCCTATCACGTCCCGTACAAAAGAAAACTGAATCCACGCCACTACTCCCAAAGCGACATCGTTCCTCCACTGGGCCATCTCGTCACGTTGTTTCAACCAGCGCTCCAAGTGAATTCTATGAGTACCACACCATTAACGGTATTATTGATCTCCCATTCGCCTCCAAGAAATTTTCATCTGGAGATAGCTCTGGCTACGGTTCCGGTGTTTCTGGTTCTGGATCGACCCCTTCGTTTCGCACGTCTCGCGCGTTCCTTAAAAACATACACCAGGGCTTTGTACATAACGTGAGGCCCAGAGTCCTTGGTGCTTATATTTTGTTTGGAGGCTCCATCATCTGGCTTGTATGGATGACATCGAGCAGAATCCTAACAGGCAAGAAAGAAAATCCGGGTCATGGCCATGGTGGAATTGGTGGACACGTTCCTCCATATGGAATGAATATCCCTACGCTGACTCCATCTTTCCCTACTCAACCTATCGAGGAGCTTATGTCTTTTGACGAGCCATACCTCTTTACTTGGGGTGTCAACGATGGTCAGGTATCACACAATTCCCGCAAGTCACGCCCCAATCCACCCTCAAAGTGCGAACCAGAAGAGAGCTTTTGGGATACCTTATGTGGGGCCTTTGTGAGTTTGGTGTGGCTACTTGGTGTAATTCTTGTTATACTTTTTATCCGTACGCTGCTCGAACATTTGGCTTTAATATTTTCTTCCAGTGGTGAGGTAGCTGATGGGGGTTGGAATGAAAAGATGTGAGGGAAAGTCTTATTGAGGTGGACAGATTGCATCAAAATTTGTGACATGAAGGATGAGATCTTGAGAATCTAGGGTGGAGAAGTTCGGTGAAAAGGAGAGAATGCCGAAATAGACTGTGTGTTATGAGATGTGAGATGAAGCTAGGTTTGACATGGTCGAAGATGCTTAGACACAGGGGTGGCTCTTGATTTGATGTGAGGGAAGGCTGCACACAACAAAATGAGTGCGCGTTTATTTGTGGGAGACCTGGGGAAGGATATCTGCATTTTCTGTCATCTTGAGTGTATATGAACGGGTTTGGGGTTTTGGTTCGGGACTTGTTTCTCATCAAGCCAGTGAACCTTCGCTGCCTGTGTTAATTTTTGCGATAAATGACTCATGGTAAATGATACCTATTCATGTTGCCTTGCTTTGACATCTATTTGTGACTGAATGTAAAGTATCGACAGGCTTGAAACGATATTGCAAGCAGTATCACCGAAATCGTTGCGTCTTTCGAATTAATTAATAGCCTATCCTTCAAATCTTCTAGAAGCAATAAATATATACTTAGATTTGTTTAGATCAAGAAACACTACTCTTAACACTTGACAAATCTGGTGCAAAAGTCTTTGGAACAGACTAAGTATTATCTGATCTCATCAAACAAGTCTGAAGCCCAATGTGCCTATTGAATCTCAATATCGTTAGCAGTCTGTCATTGTCATATGATCTCCGACTATTTTGAATATGATATGTTCCCGAGCAGAAATCCGTAGGCTAGCCCGCGTGTTTAGCTTTAGCCTCACTATCAACCGTAATTTACCCCTCTGGGCAGACGATACTTTGATGATAGGCCTCCACTTGAAAGCTGCCTTATGCCGTGGTTTTCTCAGATTGAGGCATTCCATATGGTTAAATGGAGAGGGAGACTCTTGGAGTCCTTGGAGTACATTAAGCCAGGTCAGATGTACCAACAGATCATATCCCGGTGCAAGCCTAAATGGGCTCTCACTAATTTCACTCTAACACACTGTAATTGCCGTTACCTGGTATGTCAAGAGGGTTAGATATTTTAGACGAATCGATTTGTATTTTGCAATTAGAATTGAAAAGGGTACGGAGATTAGTCTTCACTTGAGTTGCATGGTAACGAGGAGTCGTCGGAAAATGCGAGGATACGATCGGGAGTGATCCATGTTACGTAATCATCTCAGTTCACTTCCGTCCCGAACTCTCCGCGCATGGAGTTTTAAAATCGACATCCAGTCACTTATACTGTGATACGAACAACATCTTGCACTTGGCTACGTAGCTTTTTCTAGACTACTCAGGTAATCGCGATGAAGGGTCTCTCTGTAGATTGATCCATTTACTGCACAATGCCATTGATTCAAAGCATGTGAGGCAGCAAACGGACCCCCCCCGAACACTACTAGCATACTCGATCTCCTGGTCTTTTAAACATCTCAGCACACAGGTAATATGAGTGAATTAGGTATGTCAACTCGAACGACGACATTGTGGGCAATCAATTCCGATGATTTCCTCGCGAAGCTTCCAAAGTCTCAAACCACTTAAGAAACAATAAAATATATGGGAAAGTTCTAGCTGGCTCGGAAGTCTACGCATCAATGCTGCGGAGGTATCGTGAAGGACGGTCTTTCGTGATTTATATACGTTCAGAAGCTACAAGGTGGTAAAGGTAGGGATAGCCTTCAACATGGTGCTTTCACGAAAGCCTTCGGGCCAGTTGCTGGACGGCTTGACACCGAAAAAGCACTACTGTTCAAGAGATAAATTCTCTACAAGATGAGCTCTTGGAGATATTGGCATATACATCCAGACTACGAACATTAAGACAATTTCTCTGATACATTTCCTCGGGATTCACCGTATCCTAGACGACATACATTCGAGGTAGGTCATTGATTACAATCCATTTGAAGCAAGCGCGGAAATGATGATAAACGTGAGGTCGTTGCGGAAGGTCAACATGGGCAATACTCGAACCATTCTCATCCACGAGGGATTTGGACTACACACTTCTGAAGGCTATATCTGGTGCAAACAAAGCCTACTTGTTCTAGCCCGCAATTCGTGCCAATACTAGAGCTTAACACAGCTAGCCATGCAAATGGAGAGTCTAGCCCGGAGAGTTTTGGTGAAATTAGGGATTTTACTAGTCTCTCAACATTGCCTCCAGAGCTTCAAATATGCATATGGGAACTTGTATGTGAGGTTGAAGGACAGCGAGTAATTCTCGTCACAGCCAACGACCAGTCACTACTCTACATCCTTATCTTGAAATAGGCTCCAACAGACAATGAACCAAGCAATATATACATCAACTACGCCAATTCATATTGCACTCCATATTTGCTCCTGTTGACGAAACATCACCTTGAAAATGTACGAGTTTCCTTTTGGCCTGACCCATTCTGACTAATATGGATATCACTGCTCCTCTGATGATACATTCAATCATTGAAAGGACAGCCTGTCTTTTCTCGAAGATCGTCATGATTACAAGATGGACTAGAAGTCACGCCATCTGTCTTTCTGGAGCTTTCTAAACTGACCAGATATTGATAGGCTCCAGCATTCATGATTCAAAGGAGACACACACGGCGTGATGTGCCCGAATTTGTGTAGATTCCACACAATTCTTTCTAGATGGAGATCGTTGAAACAGGTAATCAGGAGGTATGAGGTCATTGGAAATCGATTATGTAGAAAAATCAAATTTGAAAAATTGAATGGAGATAAGTTGCATTTTGTGGTCTTGTGTAACGAAGAGGTCAATGACGAGCGATCCATACCTTACTGACCTGATGTCTCAAGATCTACTCAAAAGAACATTGGAAATTGTCCTGGATGCCGTCAAATCCTGTGTGGAATCTGGAACTATGCCTGGAAAAGAATCGGGACCCGCCGAAACACGATGGGGGTCACTTTTGGATCAATTCGAAAGCTACGAGCATGCTTGCCATTGTACATACTTGTTTTCACGATGACATGGCCCGGTATTTCACAGCGGGAGTCTCGGAGAAAGAGCCCTCTTCCCTGAATCGAACCGTACATTTTCTTCATTCCGTGCATACATATGCAGTGAAACAGAAGGAAACTCATCTTCTAGAAGATCTCCACCCCCAAATCGACATGCATTAGCTCTCCACAGCGCATAAAGTCGCTGCAGGAACTCCGGCTTTCTTCCTGGATATAGAAGGAGACAAGAAATAAATTTCTGATTGTGGAAAAGTCTCCTGAAATCCGCTTTACCTGCACATAACATTAACTTTTCTGTGGAATGCATTATATAAATTTCCAAATACCGGTTGCATGACCCCCACGAACCCATTCATCCAGTAATTTGGAGATTTCCGGTCCTGACCCCGTCTTGGCTGCATTTATTGTACAACAGGAAGATGCCGACCAAGGCGCTAAGTGTGCAGTCAGCGCGGGGTCGAAACCCCCCTGGAATCAGTCAAGTGCATATTTGGAAGCTATGTCTGCACGATCGGACGCATTCAACTTTTGTTCAGTTTCCTCCGCGTCTAGTTATTGACCATCATACCACCTTCCTCAATTCACTTCAACGCCGAACGCAAAGAACGTTCTGGAAAATAATATCTTTGGGCGTCAATATTCTTCAATAGTTCGAAGATTTCTAGGGATCGGGTTTGAAAATGGGTCTAGTCAATTGGGGTCATGAAGCAGATCCCGTTCTCACCAGTATTGTTGATGAGAATAAGGTGGCTTGGTGAAGAAAAGAAATTTGAGAATCCAACATGTATGGGAATTGAGATGACGTCGGGTTTCGACTCTCAGATGATCAATGAATTGCAGTTTATTCCTTCTTGAAATAAATATGAGTTTGGTGTTTAGTAAGTTTATTGGTCGGAGGAGTATTGATGATGAAATACAGACTTTGGAGAGCCGACGATTGACGGGGCAGGGAGTTCGACGTATGCTTTGAAGGCAGAGCTTTTAGGCATTGTGACTGCGGCATACAGTTTGGGTGCTATTTTGTCGATGCCGTTTGTACCAATGCTTGCTCAACGCTTTGGATGTAGGTGGTCCATAATGCTTGGGTCGATTGTGATGGTTATTGGGTCATTTCTTCAGGGATTTTCCATCAATGGTATGGCCATCTGAAAACTTCTGGTTGGGTATACACTCACCTAGAAACAGCTGCGATGTATATCGTTGCCAGAATGTTTCTTGGATTTGCTATTGTCTCTGCAATAGTTTCCGGCTCAGCCATGCTTGGTGAATTAGCATACCAGAAAGAAAGGCCAGTCATGACTTCTCTCTTGAATGCATCTTGGTTCGTAGGATCTTTAGTGGCTTCCGGGATTACTGTTCGCACTGCAACCATCAACACAGATTGAGGATGGAGAATTCCATCTCTTCTTCAAGCCTGTCCTTCACTTATTCAGATCATCTTTGTCTCGTAAGTATATCTTGAATTAACCAAGATACTCCTAACAACGGATAAAGCTTCCTACCAGAAAGTCCTCGGTACCTTATTAGCAAGGATAGACGAGATGAAGCATTCGATTTCTTGGTCAAGTATCATGCAGAAGGAAATCGTGATTCAGTATTTGTTCGTGCTGAAATGACTCAGATTGAAACAACGGTCAAATTAGAAGAAGAAGCTTCTAAACGATCTTGGATGTCCATGTTGAGTACTCCTGGAATGAGACGCCGGGTGTTTCGCTTCTGCTATGGAGTCTTCACACAATGGTCTGGCAATACTTTGATTTCGTGAGTGCTCTATTCGCTCGCTCATCCCATGATTTAACAACCCCAGATTCTACCTTTCCAAGATCCTTGCCATGATAGGTTACACGGATACTAACACGAAAACTTTGATAAATATCGGATCAACAACTTGGTCTTTCCTCACAGGAACTTTAGCCGCCCTCACAGTACCACGCTTTAACGCCGCACCATGTTTTTACTCTGTGCTTGTAGCATGTTCTTCGTGTGTATAGCATGGACAATCAGTATGCAACGAGCCATGCTAGCGTATGATACCAATCGGCCCAACAAAGCTGCTGCCATCACCACACTATTTTTTATATTTCTTTACTCGCCTTGTTATAACATTGGGAACAATGCACTTGCATATAGTAGGTACCATCCTCTAACCTATCAAATGCCCGGATCTAAACCCACAACCCATACTAAAACCCCACAGCCTATCTAGTAGAACTATTCCCCTACGCGGACCGTTCTCGCGGTTTCTCCATCGAACAATTTTTCGTCCGGGCAGCTAATTTCTTTACCACCTACGTGAATCCCATCGGTATGGCCAATATTGGTTGGAAATATCTTATTATGTATTGTGTAACCATTTGCATTGAGACAATTGAGATTGGCTTCTTGTATCCTGAGACTCAGGGACGTACCTTGAAAGAACTTGCTTTTCGTAAGTGTTTTCGTTTTTGGTTTTGTGGACTTCATATATCAATTTGCGAATGCAATTGAGAACCACTAACTGGAGTTTTTGGGAACAGTATTTGAGGACAATGTGTTGGCAGAGAAAGCTGCTGTGGCTGTGGAGAAAACTATACATTTTGATCACCGTGATGAGGCAAGGACTGCGTAGAACTGAGGCCGATACCCTGGCACCCAATTGCGTGGAAACGGGTCAATATCGTGTTTGTAAGATTACATGCTGCATGATTTTGCTCCAAAGGGATTTTTGATACTTCTTATTTCTTTTGTTGCTTCTTCAACGTACCCCTATTTTTCAAGATTTATTTCTGGTCCCTTTAGCTATTTATCTGACAATATATATCTTCGGTATAGATAGACATTGGACCACAAACAACTTTTCTTCAAAATCAAAAAGTAAAGCTTCACATCTTCAAATCGTGAAATATCAATAGCTTAACCCCCATCTCGCTGGCGCGTCCTTACACGTAAAGATCCCCACAATACGTGCACGTTCGCCGCTCGTTAATCTTAATTGACCAAAATTCTCCATTCCCATCTACATACATATCCACTCTAGGAAAATTTCCAAAAGCTTGATATCTATTCAGAAATCATGATTTGTGCTTGGCAATCTTGAATGGATACCATATGGATCACATTGCATCGCTATCTCTAGAACGTCAGCTGCGTCGTAAGGAGAAGAGGATGGATGTATGCTTTCGGTTTGTACTGTAAGTGGGCTCATTCTTTATGTCTTTGGGATCTTAGATATGTGAGAGAAAAGTCGATATGAGGCTTTGAAGAGTGCTTTTCCTATCTCAAATTCTTGTTTTTGTCTTTGTGATTTTCAACCTCTTTTCCCCTGAAAATTACCTTTTGTTTTGAGTACATAGCATCTTTTGATACCCTTCTGTTCAACTATTTCATATTCGATACCCCTCTTTCCATCATCCAACTCCCAAATCACGCAATGCGGGGAACACATTTCACACACCTCCTCCCCATTCTCATCGGGCGTCTCATCAGCGCAACTCCACAAAACTTCCCATACATCCAATCTACAGAATTTGACGCCGGAGGTTATGGTGCCTATCCAAATCGCACCTATACAACACGTCCAGACTTGATCTCGCCTCGTCTGAATATCCTTCGAGATAATCCGAGATGTGATGATGGGTTCCTTAGTGGAGTTATGCGTAACCGGTATATGGTGTATACACCGTGTAGGGACTGTGTAAGCGTATTTACATTGTGTAAGGGAGCTTATATAGTGTTACAACGGATTAGTAACAGGCTGTAGAATCACTGACTTATAGGCTATAATGGTATTATAGGCCTCAGTGATTCAGCTGCAGTATACCGGGGGACACTAGGCACCCAAGGAAAGCCTCAGGCATGTATATAGTATTAGTTATAGAATACACTGAATCATAGGACATGGTTCCTAGGACAGTAGGGTCCTAAGAAGAATAAGCAATACAGGACACAGTAAGCAAGAGAGGTCTTGCTAGGATTAGTAAGCTCCCAAGGGATTAGCCCTAGGACAGGAAATAAGATAGGACGACAAGACTCACGGGACTAGTATCACGTGATGGACCGTCCCATCAGTCCCACTGATTATTATCAATGGGATTAATAGGATCCCACTACTCCCACTACTCTCAGTGAGTGGGATCGGTGGGACAACAGAGTGTGAAGGTTTATATAAAGGAAAGGGTTTCCTTACATGTAGAGCTTCGTGCTCAAGAACAATCATTAGTTTCATTACTATAGTTACGAGAATTGCAACCAGTTACAACCTTATTGAATTCCTACTTGAAGTCTAGTCTAAACCACCTCGAGAGATCTCTAGACACTTCCACGTGACCCTAGAGGCAGCTCCCGTAACAATACACTATATAAGCTTTTTTAAACGAAAATATAATATAATATAATACATCTAGGAACCTATAGATTAATAATTGCTTAAAGAATAAATAACTTCAAAAATAAAAAATCTTCAATATTTATTAAATAAGCCTTGATGAATAATCAAATGAATAATGAATTATAAGTTTTCTTTTTTATTCACAATCATATACACTATCAACATATTATAAGGAATATTAATTTGAATAAGAATCCTTAATAATCGAAAGAGATATTCAATATTAATTAAAAAGTTAAAGAAATAATAATATTGTTTAATAAACTATATTGAAAACATATACGAAAACTTATACTATATAGAAAGACTTATACTGTATAACGTAGTTTAACACCGAGTGGGCCATATCACCGAGTGGGCCACTTCAAAATACACCAAAATTAGCCTTTTCTTAATATTTACATTTTAATAATTAATCAATATTTTTTAGAAAAGAAAAAAGATTTATCAATAAGAAAAGGTTTCTTATACAAATATTTAATTTTTATATGAAAATTTGTATTATATTCTATAAAAATCAGAAATTGTTACGATTTTCATTACAAAAATATTATTTTAATAATAGCTCTTATATTAATTATAATTTTGAAAAACAAATTAGATTTTTAGAGTATTTATATAATTAGATTTCATAATTTCAATTTTTATAAAATTATATTATTAAATGAAGAAAGTGCACGGTTACGCACAGACGAATTTTGTATGTATTTATGATGGCCCACTCGGTGATATGGCCCACTCGGTGTTAAACTACGTTAAGCGATATATTATTATATAGAGAATTTTACATTACATATACACCATATAAATTCGCTATACAATGTGTACATTATATACTGGTTACGTACAACTCTACTAAGGTTATATACACGATGATATTCCTAAGAGGCGACAAAGTACATATCAAGGGACAAAGTCCCATGATCCATGACCAGCAGGGAAATCTCGTTTGGATGAATGCATCGTATGGGGAAACAAACATCTGGGTTGAATGTACAGAAATATAAGAATGTGGGCTATTTGACATTCTGGCAAGGTGATGATTCAGTAGGGGGACATGGGAAGGGAGTTTATATCTTGGTATCTTTCTCCGACGTGTAGACATGTGATCTATACTAACCATCCGATGCAGCTAGATTCCTAATACAAAGAAGCCTGCCGTCTAACAGCTGGCAATAATGCTCTAGGAGATCTCCACGAATTCCACATAACACCAGAAGGAACCGCTCTAGTAACCTGATACATTCTCAAAGAAATGGATATCTAATATCGTTGTCGCACTCGTAAAGGCTGGGTTTGGGATTCCGTAATCCAAGAAATCAATATTGAAACCAATGAGGTTAGATTCGAATGGCATGCGTCCGAGGACTTCAACACCGAAGACTCCTATTCTCCAACCGGGAGTGCTAGACTGAGAAGTAGTCATGGGTACGATTTCTTTCACATCAATAGTATTGTCAAAGATAAATTGGGGAATTATTTGATCAGTTCACGATATTATCAATCCGTATCGTATATTGATGGAAAGACGGGTGAGATTCTTTGGGAGCTCGGTGGGAAAAGAAATAGTTTCAAGGATTTGTCGGATGGGAAGGCTACAGCATTCAGCTGGCAACATGATGTTCATTGGACTGCGGATCGCAAGGGAATCCCCTTTTTCGACAACGGGGCGCGTTATGGATTGGAACTGCAAGTTGAGAGTTCCCGTGCGATTCATATGTCTCTCGATCTCGAAGCCATGACTGTGGAAATCGTACAAGAATATGTGAATCCAAGGAAGATTCTCAGTGCTAGCCAGGGCAGTATGCAGGTACTCGAGAATGGAAACGTAATGGTTGGATATGGATACAATGCTGCTTGGGCCGAGTATACTTCTGAGGGAGAAGTTCTCTGTGATGTTCATATTGGATCTCAAAAAAACATTCAATACAGGAGCGGTACAGACATTTAAGGTGTTGAAACATGCGTGGGTGGGCAGGCCAGATTCAGTGCCGGATGTGAAGGTGGTGCAGAATAACGTGTATGTTAGTTGGAATGGGGCTACGGAGGTTAGAGGATGGGTTTTGGAGGGAGCGAAGACTGACAGGGGAGAAGGAGGCGAGGAGGGATTTCAGATGGTAGCTGAAGTTCAGAAGAGCGGGTTTGAGACGAAGATTTTGTTTCAGAGAAAAGCTTGGTGTTGGGTGAGAGTTGCCGGTGTTGATGGCGAGGGTGTGAAGATGGAGACTAGTGAGATCTGGGCTACTGGAACAGATTGTGAAGATACGGTATGTGATTCTCTCACTGGATGTCATCGACTCATTGAGATGACTTAATTAACGAATCAGCAGATCGATTTACCCGAGACAGAGGAAACAATGGAGGAAGAGGAGGAGGCTGCAAAGCCATTAATGCCATCAAGATTTGCATCAGAAGTAATAGCGATTGCAGGATTCGTATTTGGAATGTTGGAGTCATGTAGAAGGAAGTTTTGGAAACGGACATTGTCCAGTTTGGGATATAGAGTACTCTCTGTTCAAGCGCAGGATTAGGCTATCGAGAAATAATGTTTTTAATATTCAGAAACGCGTTAAATTCTTTGATGTTGTGAATATACTTGGCGTACTCATGATCTTGGCTTCTTGGCTATTGGCGCCCAGAAGCCTCTTTTGCGGCATGGAAGGCTACGTTTCCCAATTAGGACTGACAATCAAACAGTCGGACATCATGCTATGTGGAAAATATCACAAAGTTGAATACTATGATGGATGAAAATTTTGCGCAGTTCCTGACTTCAAGGGAACTGGCCCTTTGAATTTGACATGACTTTTATTAACCCTCTTCGTAGTTATAGCCCCCACAAAACGCCATACACCATTTTGATATGCATCGTCGAACCTCCAGAGAGAAATTCATGCTTCAGCAGTAACAACACCGCCAGCATCCTTCCACTTTTGAACTCGTCGTCTGATGTCTGATTCTGTTTGTTGCATGGGATTTAATCTTCTATCCCGAACCATGGCTCCGTAGTTCTCTCCCCATCTCTTGACCAACTTCTCAATCCATTCTTTCTCCCTCTTACTCTGTTGTCTCTCCCTCTTCTCGCCTGCTCTTGAGGCTTGTTCCTCCAACATCTTTACAATCTCGTTTTTCGATGCAGAACCCTCCTCATCACCAAACCCTTCGAAACCTTCTCCATCCTCATCATCGGAGTTCAGAATATCGTTCAATGGATTTGGTTTCTTCTCGTCGTGAATAACCCT